TGTGTGACGCTGGCACAGCCTCGCTTTTTACGCTGGCACAGCCTCGCTGTGTGAGGCTGGCACAGCCTCGCTGTTTGACGCTGGCACAGCCTCGCTGTTTGACGCTGGCACAGCCTCGCTGTTTGACGCGGCACAGCCTCGCTGTGTGAGGCTGGCACAGCCTCGCTGTGGAGGCTGGCACAGCCTCGCTGTTTGACGCTGGCACAGCCTCGCGTTTGACGCTGGCACAGCCTCGCTGTTTGACGCTGGCACAGCCTCGCTGTTTGACGCTGCACAGCCTCGCTGTGTGAGGGTGGCACAGCCTCGCTGGGGAGGGTGGCACAGCCTCGCTGTGTGAGGCTGGCACAGCCTCGCTGTTTGACGCTGGCACAGCCTCGCTGTGTGACGCTGGCACAGCCTCGCGTTTTACGCTGGCACAGCCTCGCTGTGTGAGGCTGGCACAGCCTCGCTGTTTGACGCTGGCACAGCCTCGCTGTTTGACGCTGGCACAGCCCGCTGTTTTACGCTGGCACAGCCTCGCTGGTGAGGCTGCCCGCCTCGCTGTGTGAGGGTGGCACAGCCTCGCTGTTTGACGCTGGCACAGCCTCGCGTTTTACGCTGGCACAGCCTCGCTGTTTGACGCTGGCACAGCCTCGCTGTTTTACGCTGGCACAGCCTCGCTGTGTGAGGCTGGCACAGCCTCGCTGTGGGAGGCTGGCACAGCCTCGCTGTTTGACGCTGGCACAGCCTCGCTGTGTGAGGCTGGCACAGCCTCGCTGTTTGACGCTGGCACAGCCCCGCAGTTTGACGCTGGCACAGCCTCGCTGTTGAGGCTGGCACAGCCTCGCTGTGTGAGGCTGGCACAGCCTCGCTGTGTGAGGCTGGCACAGCCTCGCTGTTTGACGCTGGCACAGCCTCGCTGTTTGACGCTGGCACAGCCCCGCTGTTTGACGCTGGCACAGCCTCGCTGTGTGAGGCTGGCACAGCCTCGCTGTGTGAGGCTGGCACAGCCTCGCTGTTTGACGCTGGCACAGCCTCGCTGTGTGAGGCTGGCACAGCCTCGCTGTGTGAGGCTGGCACAGCCTCGCTGTTTGACGCTGGCACAGCCTCGCTGTTTGAAGCTGGCACAGCCTCGCTGTTTGACGCTGGCACAGCCTCGCTGTGTGAGGCTGGCACAGCCTCGCTGTGTTAGGCTGGCACAGCCTCGCTGTTTGACGCTGGCACAGCCTCGCTGTGTGAGGGTGGCACAGCCTCGCTGTTTGACGCTGGCACAGCCTCGCTGTGTGAGGCTGGCACAGCCTCGCTGTTTGACGCTGGCACAGCCTCGCTGTTTTACGCTGGCACAGCCTCGCTGTTTGACGCTGGCACAGCCTCGCTGTGTGAGGCTGGCACAGCCTCGCTGTGTGAGGCTGGCACAGCCTCGCTGTTTTGAGGCTGGCACAGCCTCGCTGTGTGAGGCTGGCACAGCCTCGCTGTGTGAGGCTGGCACAGCCTCGCTGTTTGACGCTGGCACAGCCTCGCTGTGTGAGGTTTGGGACAGCCTCGCTGTTTGACGCTGGCACAGCCTCGCTGTTTGACGCTGGCACAGCCTCGCTGTTTGACGCTGGCACAGCCTCGCTGTGTGAGGGTGGCACAGCCCCGCTGTGTGAGGGTGGCACAGCCTCGGTGTGAGGCTGGCACAGCCTCGCTGTTTGACGCTGGCACAGCCTCGCTGTTTGACGCTGGCACAGCCTCGCTGTGTGAGGCTGGCACAGCCTCGCTGTTTGAGGGTGGCACAGCCTCGCTGTTTGACGGGCACAGCCTCGCTGTGTGAGGCTGGCACAGCCTCGCTGTTTGACGCTGGCACAGCCTCGCTGTTTTACGCTGGCACAGCCTCGCTGGTGAGGCTGGCACACCTCGCTGTTTGACGCTGGCACAGCCTCGCTGTTTGACGCTGGCACAGCCTCGCTGTTTGACGCTGGCAAGCCTCGCTGTGTGAGGCTGGCACAGCCTCGCTGTTTGACGCTGGCAAAGCCTCGCTGTGTGAGGCTGGCACACCTCGCTGTTTGACGCTGGCACAGCCTCGCTTTTGACGCTGGCACAGCCTCGCTGTTTTACGCTGGCACAGCCTCGCTGTGTGAGGCTGGCACAGCCTCGCTGTTTGACGCTGGCACAGCCTCGCTGTTTGACGCTGGCACAGCCTCGCTGTTTTACGCTGGCACAGCCTCGCTGGTGAGGCTGGGACAGCCTCGCTGTTTGACGCTGGCACAGCCTCGCTGTGTGAGGCTGGCACAGCCTCGTGTTTTTACGCTGGCACAGCCTCGCTGTTTGACGCTGGCCCCAAACCTCGCGTTTTACGCCGGCACAGCCCGCGTTTGACGCTGGCAACCCCGCTGTTTGACGCTGGCACAGCCTTGCTGTTTGACGCTGGCACAGCCTCGCTGTGTGAGCTGGCACAGCCTCGCTGTTTTACGCTGGCACAGCCTCGCTGTTTGGGCGCTGGCACAGCCTCGCTGTGTGAGGCTGGCACAGC